GGGGTTAAAAGCTCTAAAAACGACGGACGAGTAGGAGAGACACACATCACAGAGCGCTAGGAGAGACACACACCACAGAGCGCTGAGGTGTGTGCCTCTCCTACTCGTCCGTCGTTTTTAGCGCTTTTAACCTATAAACCGCAGCGTCAGTTTTAACGACCGGCCACCCCATGGCGCTGCGTGTCCGGCGAATGGGAGCTTAGTCGACGCGCGCTAGCCAATGAGATCGCAGCGGTGTAAAAGAACTGTTTGGCGTGGTTTGAAAGGTGATGACGTCGGCTCGTTTCATGACAAAGTTTATGCTTTCGCATTAATAACAAATATACAAGATTATCATCCAGTTTCATTCACAAGTACAAGTTGTAATATGCTTGAACACGTCCCTGCTAAACACATTATAACATATGTCAATAATAACAACCTCAAAAGAAGTCACCAATATGAATTTAGACGAGGATGCTCTACTGTTGTGATGTTGTGTTCTTAGGTTTTGCTAAGGCCTTCGACCGCGTGTCATATCCAAAGCAGCTTCATAAACCCAAGTACGTACTAAACAATTATCAAACTTTAACATTGCTTGAAGCTAATCTTATTGGCAGAATGCAGTTTGTCCAATTAAGTAATGTAACTTCAGACGACCTATCAGTAAGTTCAGGAGTACCTCAAGGATCTGTCCTAATGCCACTAGTGTTAATTTTGTGCATCATAGCATATGTCGGGAATTTGAAACTTAAGTAAAAATTAATAATTTTGCCTACGAAACAATTATATATCCAAAGCACGAACGTACGATGATCAGACGAAATTAAATGAGCATTCAAATAGAGGGACCAGCTGGAGCAATGATTGGCAAATGGAAATCAAGAAAAAGAAAACTGTTTACATGATTGTAACGCGGAAAACAATACCACCACAATTAAACTGCAGTATAGAAGGTATGTCCTTAGAAAGCCTCCAGTTATTTAAATCCTTGCGTGTCCATTTAAACTCGAACTTAAACTAGAATTCGCACGCAGAAACTGTTTGCAATAATGCATTATCACAATGTTTGACACTCAGACGTAAATTAACGTCCGCTACTCCAGAGTTAGAATAAACTGTATATAAACCACTAAGCAACGCTTAAATATGTAAGCGCAGTCCGGGAGCCATTTACACACAAAAAAACATTCATAAACTCGAAAATATCAAAAATAAAGCTGTCCGTTTAGTTTTTAATCGCTACATATCTACATTGTCCGTCTCCCAACTGGTATCCGCTGCAAACCTCCTTCCTATTAGAACTAAAATGATGTTGAGCCGGATGAAATAATTCTTAAACTTCCTTCGGGGTCGACATGTTATGAACTTTCAAACACGTGACCTACCAAAGCCCTGGCTGTGCGACTAGAACCAAGCAGACCAAAGAGTTACTGGTTATCGCTTTAAAACAGACTATTTTAAGAATTATGTTAAATCCACCGATAACTGGAACTGCCTGTCAATGTACGTTTTAAATAGTGTGTCTTATGGATTATTTGTTATTTTATGTGTGATGCTATGCCGGCCTGTGTGATTGTAAGTGGGAGGGTGCTATTATACTCTACAGTTTATCCTCCTGCTTTAACTTCACGGCTGGCATTATTTTTTTATAAATAAATAAATACATAAGTAGAGCAACCGTTCACAGAAAATTGGTCTTTCCGTTTTGACGTTGGTGAGCAGGTGGATGCGGGCTCAATGCATATTAACACAAACGCACAGGCACATCACGAGGGCATGTATGTGCCCGCACACATGTGCAGCGCATACACACACTCTCTTTGTCTCCAATAAACATACGCACAAACACACATACATCTGTATTCTGACGCACTCCCATACAAAAATGTCCTATGGTCGGCCATAGAAAATTCTTTGTATAGTTGGCTTTAGCTATTTGGCCCAGTTAGCTAAATAATTTTGTATGGCTGTCTTTAGCATTTTTATAGTCGCATTTATGAGGCTCTTTAGCTTTGTCTATGGCCCTATCGCTGTCCAGCCTAGCGCTTTTTAGCTTTTTTAATGGTTGGCTAAAGACTTCTCTATGGCTTACCCTATGCCTCTCTTTAGCCAGCAAACTCTAAACAAAAAAATACTTCAAGTTCCCCCACTTGTGACCGCTACATGGTAGATATACATACATCTCTGAACACACAGAATAAAAGTAGAACACTACCCCACAAAACGGCAACGCCAACAACGCAGCGAAACCGCACTCCCACCCCTCTCTTCATATGCTGTGTTCGCACTAGTTATATATGGCAGTCTAATTTTTGAATCCGACTTCGCCGGTGACCCATCATTTGTCGCAGAAACACGGAGAGGCGGAGCAAATATTACTCGTACTTAATACATTATTTAAATTTTCTCTTGAAATAGCCCCCATCTTATAATTCAACAGCCTGAGCAAATGAAATGTAGATCATTAGGCTAATTAACTAAACTGTATTATTTATCTTTCTAATAGGTTTGATGAATCGTCTTGACAATGAAGTGTTGAAATGCAGTACACTGGTGGTGAACATTACTTGATTGCAGTGTAATCTTTTTTCAGTTTTGGTGGGGTAATAATTAATTTTAATTGTTGCACAAGTATTTCAATGGATTTTTGAAGCAAACAATATTACTGGTTTTCAAGACTCGTTGCAACAGCAGAGAGCATATATTGGGTCAGGCTTTGCCACCTGTATTACAGAAATTTAGCATTGCTTTAATTTTCTAACCTGGAGCGTTTTTCCTACAAAAAGTGGGTGCTGGGAGTGATAAAGACCCACGTACCATGACTTGGGTGTCACAGCAGACGACTAAAACGAGACCGTCTTCGGTGATATAATGCGACCGCTTGAAAACATCAATTCGCCCAAGCCATAAAGTTCAAAAGACCATGTTGAGAGTTGTAGTACATCGTTTAGCAGACCGCCGCTGCCGCCGTGAGCATGGAGGAGAGATTTTAAGACTCACTGCCATAAAATTTTCAATGGACGGGTAAAGAAGATTTATTGGTTCCCAGTCCTTAGACTCGGGGCCATGAAATTTTCTATAGGCGGGTAAAGACAATTTATTAATCGCCAGTCTTTAGACTCGTGGCCGTAGAATTTTTTATACGCGTGTAAAAATTCCTAGTCTTTAGACACAGGACCATAGATTTTTCGATAGCTGTCTGTAGCTATATATATATTTCTATGGCCGACCATAGAAGGCCTTAGGGGTGATAGCCTGCCAAAGAATTTTTCATAAACGACTATAGACCATTTTTGTATGGGCTCAGACGTCCAAGTTCACACTGTGCACTCGAAAGTGTACCTACAGGCACCTGCAGTAATACCAGGGCGCCAAGAAAAGTGTACCTGCCGCTTTGAACTGATTTGACAAATCCTAGAAGCAGCAGTGCAAGAAATGGTCTGCCACCGCCACGAATGGCAGCTTCGCTGCTACGTGTGACGACGTCGTGGTGACACTGGACGACATTGAACGTCTCACAAACTCCAGTCAGAAGACGGGGTACTTCGACTACTACGACTATGGTTCAAAGCAGGAGCAGACGCATCGGGAGAACATGCCAGCTTTCATGAGGTACGTGCGTGGGTGCCCGTTTATTAGGATGCTCCCCGCTTTCTTATTTTTTGTTTGTAGGCGATTGATATTGAACTGGTCGATCAGCGCTATTAAATTGAGCTGTAGACACTCAGCATTCTAACTAGGCACAAAACATTCTCACTGTAAAAAAAGTTTTTTTTTTCTTTTAATGACGCCCCCGGATGCACCCCACTCCGCACTATGCGTCTACTTCGGTCTCGTCTTACTCCTTAAAAAAAAAACAATCGGGTCGTTAGTTTCCCGATAAATAGTACACCTAAAAAAAATATTGGGTTGTGTGCATGTTTATACATACTAGGACTTGGTCTGCCTCAACGGGCGACGAGTCTCATAGCTGTAGATGAGGAAAAAAAAAGAATTTAGCCAGTGCAGTACAACCGCTAGCCCAGGGTCTTTGACGTGCATCACGCAGTAGTGATACACGACCGCACGCCGGTACGGTGCTCATCCAGATTGAAAATAGCACTCATACGTATATATATATATATATATATATATATATATATATATATATATATATATATATATATATATATATATATATACAGGTTGTTTATCTCGTAAGAGTGACCGAAATTTCTACAATTAGTGTATTCCAGGTAAAAAGAAAATTTTCTAGAGGACCGTATTACTCGTGGTGGTGGACGTCAGAATATGCGCAATACTTACTAGTTAGTTCCCCAATTCATTGGAAATGACTCATTAACTTTTTTATTCGTGAAAATAGACATATGGCTCCAATGAGGAACTTGCCTGAGCGCGTCATCGAAAAACACGATATCAGTAATATTAAGAAAAACGTATTGCATTGCGATTATTAGTGCGAGGGTGCTATTATACTCTGTGGTTTACCCCCCTGCTTTCGCCTGACGGCTGGCAGTAGTATGTAAAAAAATAACTAAAGAAGGGTCTGATTTTATGGATTCGTTTTATTGCGTGTGCGATCCTATGCCAGTCTGTGCGATGGTAAGAGCGAGGGTGTTATTATAGTCTATGGTGTACCCTCCTGCTTTCCCCTGACGGCTGGCAATATATTTTTTTAAATAAATAAATAAATAAAAAACGGTTCTCAGAAAATTGGCTCTCTCATTTTGCCGTTGGTGAGCAGGTGGATGCGCGCTTCCCGCGTACTAACACAAAAACGCGCAGACAGATCATGATGTCATATATGTGTTCGCATACACGTGTATAGCGCATACACGCACTCTCTTTGTCTCCAATAACCATACGCACGAACACACATACATCTGTGTCCTGACGTACTCAGACGTCCAAGCTCACACTGTGCACTCGAAATCACACCCACAGGCACCTGCAGTAATACCAGAGGGCCGCGAATAGCGTACCTACCACTTTGAACTGATTTGACGAATCCTAGAAGCATGAGCGCAAGTAATGGTCTGCCCACCGCCACGAATGGCACCTTCGCTGCTGCGGGTGACGACGTCGTGGTCACGCTGGACGACATTGAACGCCTCGCAAACTCCAGCCAGAAGACCGGGTACTTTGACTACTACAACTGTGGTTCGGGGCAGGAGCAGACGCTTCGGGAGAACATGTCGGCTTTCATGAGGTACGTGCGTGGGTGCCCGTTTATTAGAATGCTCGCCGCTTTCTTATTTTTTTTTTTTTTTTTTGTGGGCAACAAATATGAACTTTGCGGTGCGACAGGCGGTCGATCAGGGTCATTAGATTGAGCTGAAGGCACTGAAAATTTTCACCAAGCACAAAAAATTCTCATTGAAAAAAATGTTTTTTTTTTTTATTTTATAAAGTCAAGTCACCACCGGATGCATACAGTCCGCACTAGGTGTCTACTTCGCTCTTGTTTTACTCCTAAAAAAAAAAATAAAAAAAAACCGGGTGGTTAGTTTTCCAACAAATATCGCTCAATCCCTATATCACTGCCCGATAAATGGCGAATAAACTTTTGAATTAGTGAAAATAGACATTGGTTCCAGTTGGAAGCTTGCTGAGTGTCATCGAAAAACACTAAATCAGTCATCTTCATAAATACTTTCAGCGCCTGGGAAGCGTAGGTCTGCACTAAATTTACCACTCGTGGAGCAGGTACAAGGCTAGCGGTTGCGGTAAGGCACCCGAGTGATTTTCTTATCTCTTATAAAAGCCGGAGTCTTGTACCTACTCCACGAGAGGTAACTTTAGCGCACTGCTACGCTTCTCACGCGCTCAAAGTGTCCCTGAATATTACTGATTTAGTGGTTTTCGATGACGCTCAGCAAGTATCTTATTGGTACCATATGTCTATTTTCCCAAATTAAACAGTTAATTAGTCCTTTTGAATTAATTAGCGAACTAATTAGTTAGTATCGCGTATTTTCTAACGTCCGCCACAACCAGTAATCGGTCTCGAGAAACTTATCCTCTCACCTCAAATGCACTAATTTTAGGAATTTTTGTCTCTCTTGCGTGAAACACCCTGTATATAATTTGCAGAACAATTTTCAGCGATATATATTGCAATAATTTACAATGTATATATCTACAACGTGATAGCTCCTTTTTTTTAAGTCGTAAAATTTTCGGCCAGTATTTTAATACATTTTTCCCTCTTGAAAAACTTGACTATACGAAGTTCACATCACGGCAAGCTACGTACACGGAAGTACGCTACACGAAAACATAGCAACTGTTTGGCCGGTCTGCGGAAACGTGTTTCTTTTTTTTTTTAATATTTGATACTGTGAAACACCCGGTAACAGGGTATGAAGAGATGAATTATGCGCTCACATGATAAATCTGAAGGTAAATACGCAAAACGTATCACTCTTCCAAAGGATCCGATACACCGATGCCTTAGTACAAAACAAATTCACATGGAGATGCAATTATATTCCTAACATAGATCACACTTGGGCATCAACATGAGCAAGAAATATTTTAAAATACTGCCGTTGAGAGGTTCATGATTTGATTGATTGATATTTATTTATTGCGTGCCCAAAAACACCATAATGGTTTTGACATTGGTGCACAGAAGTCAGATTCCTATGAAACATGCAAACATATGGAAACCACAATAGTCATATTAGAACAGTCAGCATAATAAAACAGTCGTAACAAAGTACATAAAATACACATCAGGTGTTAAAGGTAAAATAAGGCATGAAAAAAAAATCGTGCTGGACAAGGAGGTTGCATGATGTCTGAATACGATAGATTGGTGACTCCTTTAATCGCATGTCGGGGTAGAACATGTCGCACTGTCGCGTGAATTTCGTTGGCACACGTAACTTTATGCTGTCCAAAAGGTCAGGTACGTCAATTACACCCTGGATAAGCTTTTGTAGAAAAGCCGCATCTCGGCAATGCCTTCGGTCATCCAAAGTGCTGAGATGCAAAATCTTAAGCAGAGAATGGTGGTCGAAGTAAAGTCTCCTGTGGAAGTATCGATCATAGACTATGCGAACCAAACGCCTTTGCACCGCTTCAATACGTCTAGATTCAGTCTCCGTTAAATGGTTCCACACGACAGAAGCGAATTCGAGCCTGGGCCTGACCAGAGCACAAAATAAACGTAATATGGCCTCAGGTGCTTGGAAGTGCCGAGTCAAACGGGAGATCATACCAAGCATTTTGAACCCGGTACCACAAACAGTAGCTACATGAGAACTGAACGTCAGTTTGCAATCGACTAACACCCCGAGGTCCCTGATCATATCAGTTCGAGTAATAATACAGTTTCCCAACGTGTACTTAAAATGTAAGGGATTTTTACGTCTAGTTAGCGAGATGACTTTAGTTTTGTTTATATTCAAAGGCAAACGGTTGGATGAGCACCATTGCAAAATACTCGAAACATCAGACTGTAACGCATCACAATCTTTTTCAGAACAAATACTTGAGAATAACTTAATGTCATCGGCAAATAAAAGCACTTTAGCAAACTTTACACACTTTAAAATATCATTTATAAATACCAGGAACAACAGTGGCCCCAACACTGACCCCTGGGGTACGCCTGAAGTTGGGAAAAACGGATTAGATAAAACAGTATCAACTCGAACAAAATTTTTCCTCGATGACAAGTAACTGTAAACCCGTTCACAAAGTTTAGGGGCGAAACCATATTGTTTCAATTTATGTACAAGCAAAGCATGGTCAACCTTGTCGAAAGCCTTTGTAAGATCGAAATATACCGAGTCAACCTGCCCTCGGTTTGAAACGACCGGGGCTGCGTTGTGTAGAAAAGTACAAAGGTTAGTTTCGACAGAGCGCCCTTTAATAAAACCATGTTGTTGCAGCGTCAGATACTTAGATAAATGAGAGAAAAGACATTCTTGCATAATGGTTTCAAATACTTTAGCAAAACCACACAGTAGTGACACAGGACGGTAATTTGATACAATACCAGCATCACCAGCTTTATGAATGGGCACAACTATGGCTTCCTTCCATATTGATGGAAACATACTGGTACGCAAAGATACATTAAAAATATGGGCTAAAATTGGCGCTAGAAGCCCACAGCATCCTTTAATAATAAACGGTGGAATGTCATCAGTGCCCACTGACGATTTCGGCTTGAGCTTTTTAATCGCCTTTTCAACGTCCCGTGTAGCAACACTGAACAGGGAGAGCGAGTCCCCATCACTGGGATCATTGATTAGATCTGACTTCACCGAATGTATGGGCGGTAAGTAGCAGCTGCTAAAAAACGAGGCAAACTCATCAGCGATGTCTTTTGGCGATGTAACATAATGAGTATCACCGTTACTAGAAGAGCGCAGAGATGAATGTTGTGAAAACGAATGCGGTTTGGTGATTACGTGTTTCCAGAAAGATTTGGGATCAGAATATAGACTATTTTCAACATGTCTTTCGTGGACGTATTTGTCACGTGCAAGCAATATTTTAGCTAAGGAACGAAAGTTGGAAAACTTTTGGTACCATACTTGTTTACACGTTCTCTTGTATAGACCATGAAAACGAGTCTTTTTACGCAGAGCAGTCTTCAATTCCCTCGAAAACCAGCTCGGAAATTTCCTCGGTTTAACGAGCCTTTTAGGCACATACTCTTCGATAGCTTCCTTCATTACCGAAGTCAATTTTTGTGCTGCAAAATCTGAGTCATTGGAATCATATAGCTCAGACCACGCGTGTGATTCTACATGACTGTAAATGCTGAAGTAATCTCCCTTTTCGTAACAGTAAATGAATTTCGATAGTTCTCGCGATAAACATGGCAAGTAAAAATCGGCTTCAAAGGGCGGATGATAAGCATCGACCCTCCCCAAGGGGTGTGACGAAGACGCTATCGCGCCAACAGGGAAGTTTGATAAAAGCAAGTCAAGTGTATTGTTAGAAGCATTCGTTAGATTATTGTGCTGTGAAAGACCATAAAAGTTGATAAGTGGCAAAAACCAAGAAGCTTTGCTCTCTGTCAGGTAATCACAACAATCAAGTCTGCCAAGGGCCCAGTCTACGCCTGGAAGGTTAAAATCTCCAAAAATTTGCACTTTGTATTCGCTAAAATTGATTAGACTTGTTAAAGTGTCGAAGTGTGAAATAAAAGTTGAGCATTCAAATTTAGGTGGGAAGTAATAGTTTCCGATGAGGTATTTACTACGGTCACGCCATAAAATTTCGAGCCATACGCACTCGTCACAAGTCTCAAGGTCTTGTCTACGGCACGATTTTAACTTGCTCGAGACTGCAATCAACACCCCACCGCCGAAACGTTGACCAGTGGCGCTATAATCACGATCGCGGCGAAACACAGTGTAGTCATTCGCAAAATATTGTGAATCATGTATTTCGGCACATAACCAAGTTTCAGTAAGACAGATTATGTCAAAAGAGGAAAGCGCTAGGTTGGACGAAAATTCATCTGCCTTCGTTCGTAATCCGCGGACGTTTTGATAGTATACCTTAATAGTGTTCTTCGACGCTGCCATTTTGGTATATTGATTCAGACACCCGGGACGCGTCCAGTTTCCCGAAAAACTGATGAAACAGGCACCCTTCCGGCCAGACTTCAGGGTTATTTAAGGCCTCGAACGTCTCGTCTTCCACAGATATATGAAAAGAAGAATACGAGGTGTATTTTGTCCTAAGTCAATCAATCAGCGTTTATTTCAGCTTGAAATACAAACTGAGGGTGGCAAGAAAAAAGCAGTGTCGTCCACTGCTTGACGGGCCTCGCCACCCTTACAAGTCAGCAGTGTAAACGCGGTAAAAAATAATATATATATACAAAATGAACAATACAGACAAAAATGAGAAGTACAGACAAATTATAGAAAAGCGTTCCTAAGGACAGAAGAAGACATACCATTCAAGTGATCACATAGAGGAGTATTCAAAAACTTAGGCAAGATATATCGCAACATTGTAAAGCCATAGTTCGTTCTACATCTAGGTAAAACAAAGCTGTCTTTTTCCCTGGTTGCATAAGGCGTATTGTGGGGCACAGTAGAAACAATACGTGAAAGAAAATTATCGTTTTTAGCTATACTATTTTTGTAAAAACAAGCGAATCTATATTCAAATAAATTATATACAGGCACAATTTTAAACTGCGAGTAAGCCTGCCCGGTTGGGGAATTATAT